AAAATCTCCAAAGCTAGGGTTGATAAATATATACTTTTTAATTTTTTAATAAGTTCAATCCTTCTATTTTTCTAAATAAATTTGACTAGTGGGTTTTTTTTTTCCCCCATTTTCGATAGTAATTACAATGAGAGATGCCTCGTTTGAAATTTCAGTGATGGTTGTGATGTATTTGCTGGGCAAATAAAATACTTGCATATTTAATAAGTTGCAATAGAGTTATAAACTTTTATTTTTTTATTATTTTTTTTTAAAGATTTTATTTATTTATTCATGAGAGACAGAGAGAGAGAGAGAGAGGCAGAGGGAGAAGCAGGCTCCCAAGGAGCAGAGAGCCCGATGCGGGACTCGATCCCAGGACCCTGGGATCATGACCTGAGCTGAAGGCAGACGCTTAACCATCTGAGCCACCCAGGCGCCCGAGCTATAAACTTTTAAATGGTCAAAAGAATTCTTTTTTCCGGGGTTACTGGCTTCATAAATAAATCTCACAAAATAGTATCACCTTCCCACTTCCCTGGCCTGTATATAAACATCCTAACTCCTCTTTTAGAGGATGATAAATATTAAGCACAAAATAACAGGATTAGAATGCTGTTTATGTTCTGAAAGCTAACCTAGTAAGGAAAAAAACAATCCACAGCTAAAGAAAACATATGCTCAGATCAAATTAATCCGTTTTTTTTTTTCCAGGTCTTTTATTTATATGTTAGACATTTGAATGAATATAATTAGCTTCTAAAAAATGAACATAAATGGAAGCACTGTTCACCAACTATTTAACACACCCTTACATACAATCCAGGATTATTCAGGTGGTAGTTTCCTCCATCAAAATATACACAGTCCTCTAGATAATGCTGACACCTGATCAAGTGCTCTGTGTTCCTAAGAACCTGACTAGTCTGGTAGGAGATGTTAGGTTTTCACCTTTACCTGCCCTGCCTGACCAATACTTTGGCCTTGGGTCCCAGCCTCAGGCATTCAGAGCTGTGCAGATTCACCCTGAGGCTCCTTTTGAGGGTCTGGATTCTGGCTCTGCACACTCAGCCTGGCTTCATGTGCTGCCCCCCAAAAAAACTGTGCCTCCAGGCTTCCAACTGCTCCTTTCTTTAGCAGCGGCAGTATTTCTGGTCTGTAGAGATTTCTATTCAATTTTTCTTTTTAAGTGTTGCTGCATGTTTGTTAATCTAATGTTTTTCCTATCATTTCTATGTGTTTGGAATAGAAGGGATCACTTTTGGCTTGTACTTAAATCTGTTATTTTTATTATTATTATTATTATTATTATTTTATTTTTATTATGTTATGTTAGTCACCATACAATACATCATTAGTTTTTGATGTAGTGATCCACGATCCATTGTTTTCAT